TGCCTCCTCCCTGGGCTCCCACCAGCTATGATTTGCGATAATGCGCTGGTATGCAGGAGAGTCTAGATTCTGGAAAATAACCCCAAACGTTAATTTACACTCCATGATATTTTCTTTTCTTTTGCTCAGGGTGGTTAATAAAACCTGTTATGACATGCTTAAAGTGCTTAAGAAGCTCTGGGAATAAATGAGAATTTTTCTACGCCTCCCGAAGGCATTTTCATTCCTATCAGTAGTTGTTCGTTCCATTTGAAGGATCGCCAGAGGAGAAAACGTTAAATGACTGTGCTGCTGCTGTAGCTTCAAATGGGATTTATTTCCTTTGGGTTGTGATTGGATTCTTGATTTGGCTGAACAGAGAAGGCGGTGGGGTGTGGAGGGGTCCTTCTTTCCCAGAGGTGTTTTAAAATACATCCGTCCTTTTTTTAATATGAAACGGAGAGCCTCTCACTGCTGCGCCGAGCGAAATGCAGCTTTCTAACCAAAGGAGAGTTATCTTCTCAAGAAAGTAAATAAGTGTCTGAGCTGTAAGCCGTGACCGATACCAGGTGCAGGGGCCTTAACTGCAGATGGGGCAGACACTGGGAAGAGGCTGTGCTGGTCTGGTGAGAGTAGACGTGAATGGAAGAGGCATTCTTGTCCAGTCACTTCTGCCCTCAGCGTTGGTGACTAGGTAAAAATCTCCCCTGAAAAGAACAGTCTTTGTATTCCTCAGTGCCAGCTTCGCCTGAATTCAGCTTCTCTTCCTGCAACTTATCCTGTCGCTGCCAGTGTAGAGTGCTCTGGGGAGCTGCCGAAGGGCCAGTCTGCCTCAGGGATGTTTCTTCCCTTCCCTGCGTCTCTGCAGCGAGAAGCTGCAGGAGCAGGACAGCTTACCGCCCGTTTCGTACAGGCGCTTCCCTGGTATCTCCACGCCGCGCCTTGACAGACGGGGTTTCAGAGCTTTTTCTGGTTTGCTTGTACGTGTGTCTCACTTGAAAAACCCATACTGGTTCCTATGATTCCATAGCAAACTCAGCGCTTTGATACCCGTAACGCACAGACACTGCTGATCTCTTTGAGAGCAGGTATACACAGCCTTCCGTACTCCCGCATTTTAATCAAACTCTCTATAGCTCGTGTGGTGTTTCACGGCTTCCTCATCTGATACTTGCGGCTTGGGTTTAGCTGACTTCTGGAAGAAGTACGTGTAACCTGCTAATGGCTGTGCTGTGTTTGTCAGGTGGCACTTCTGAGGTCTTAGATCAGCGGGTTTAAATCCCGTTTGTGTCTGTTTTTCAAAGCAAAAGCCTGGGTGATCGTCTCAGGAGCTATTAAGATAAACTTACTACTTTTCTCAGTGCGTTGAAATCCTTCTAGAAGAAGGAGATATAGGCATGCTGAGTGTTATTCTCTTAAGCTACGTCCTTAATTCCTAGATATGAAAACAGAGGTCACGGGGATATAACGTAGTACCCCTAATTTGCTGCTGTGGCCTCACAGGCCAAGTGATTCCACCTCTTTCCCCGGTCTCCCCTCAGAGCTAGTCAAACTGTATAATAAATGTTAATACACTTTGTTTCCTTCTCAGACTAAGAACTTGGACTTCCGCCGAAAGTGGGACAAAGATGAATATGAGAAACTTGCAGAGAAGCGGCTCACAGAAGAGAGAGAAAAGAAAGATGGTGCGTAGTGTACTGACTCCAGGCGAGCTTTGCTCATTTGGCAGTGAGTCACCCAAACCCTTTGAGTTTGAGAGGAAGAGAAGTGAAATCCCAGAGGGAAATAGCAGCAATTCAAGGCTGTCTTGCTCTGATCCTTTTTCCTGTGCTTGCCACTGAATATATTTTTTTGACAAAAGTAATTACTGAGAACCTTTGCCTCTGTCTGCCTGTTCTTTGGGGAGGGAGAGGAACAATCAGCCCCTGGAAACAAGAAGATCTCAGAGTATGACCCACGTCAGAGCTGGAGATACCTCACAGGTCTACCTGGTTCTGATAGGAACGGGGAAATAGTGAGGAGGAAATTATATCCTTTACTCGTTTAAAAAAAAAAGTGCAATTTCTGCATGAATCTGGTAGTTCCCAGGTTCCCGGTAGCCCCTCTTCATCAAGGCCAACATGAACTCCAGTGTGTTGAGCTTGACCTTTTCTGATAAACACTTTGGTTTTTTGCTTATGTTTTAGGCAAACCAGCTCAGCCTGTCAAAAGGGAACTTCTGCGGCACCGAGACTACAAAGTGGACCTGGAATCGAAGCTGGGGAAAACCATCGTCATCACCAAAACTACCCCTCAGTCAGAGATGGGAGGGTAGGTCGTGGTCTTTTTGTTGGAGTCTCAGAGTTGTGCTGGTGAGAGCCAGGGGCTGTGATACAGCAGTGAGCCCTTACGGTGCACCAGGTGGTGGTTTCCTCCTCTGTTTTGAGCCTGGTGCGATGGTGCTGCAACGTGTTACACCTAAACCGGTCTTCTGGGGTAATGTGTGGAAGAGCTGCAGCAGGCCGAGCCCCTTCGGAGAGTATTACTTGATATCAGCGTTGCTTTGCCCACCTGTAGAAACAACTGAGGCAGATCTCTGCTGCCCGCTTGGGTTTTGTTAGCCAGGAGGCCTGCTTGCAGTGACACCCTGTCTGCTGTTGATTTGAGTTTCTGATTTTGATACCTGTGCACTGGGAACGGGAGAACCATCCAGATACCTGTCCTTAGGAGCGGCGTTTGGCCACTGTTTGTGTGGATCGTGTTCGGCCAAAGGCTGAAAGGATCCTTAGCTCACCTAAGCCGTCAAGAGCTTGAAAAGAATGCGTTGAGTTTGTGCCATCTCAAGAGTAAGCCTGTTAGTGTTTCACTGTCGTAGCCTAATAGCCAGCAGTGCCAGGGAGATGTGCAGCCCTGAACAGCATCCAGGGATGGAAGAGCAGGCCCTGGCTGGGTTTTTGCAACAGCTCCTAAGGTGGGCAGAAAGCACTGCTGTATAAATCGGGGAGTTGCTCCTGTGAGGTGATAGGGATGGGAGGACTTACCTTGCAGCCAGGTGAGAGCCTTCAGCAGGCCGCAGTCTGGAAACCTGGGCTGCGTGGCCGGCCCTGCCTTGGGGGAGGGCAGCCGAGCCCTGCGGTGCCGCAGAGTCCATCCCACCCTGTTGGTTGTGACTGGAGGGGGAAGATGCCGTGACTGACATAGTTACGGATCAGCTCATGTCTTGGTTGCTGTCGTCTGTCAGAGTGGTGTCGGCATAAGGGCTGGTACCTCCGGTGTTAACCCGGGCGGCTCTGTCAATCTGGGGTGTGCCTTTGCACGTTTCTTTTCACTGGGGCTTTCTGTAATGGAAGTAGCTTCCCTCTCGCCCTGGAGAAAGGAGCCGTATCCCAGGTGACATGCAGATTTCACGTTTTAGATTATCTCAAATAGTTGTTCTGTGAGATGAGGCTTGTCTCATGCTTTGGCGTTAATGGTTTCTCTCTCTCTCTCTCTCCTGCCAGGTATTACTGTAACGTGTGCGACTGCGTGGTGAAAGACTCCATTAACTTCTTGGATCACATCAATGGCAAAAAACGTAAGGATAATTTTTCTGCCTTGTTGGAGGGTTGGTTGAGTTGGAGGGCTGCTGCAACGCTCTGGGCTGTTCCCTTCGCGCATCACCAGTGTCTGAGGGCTGAACACTTATACCTGGATCAAAGTGTGCTTTGGAGATTGGGATGGAGGCAGTGTTTGCTCACGAGAGCTGTGGAGGTGTTGCGTTTATCTCCTGGCACCTTCCAGGGTGCTGGACCATTTTCATGGAATAAGCCCAGAAGAAATAGTGATTGGTTTACTCTGGTTAGGTGGACGTATTTTCCCACTCAGAGTGTCTGCGCTGTGAGAAGCCCAGGGTCAACAAATCCTGATGTCTCCTCTGAAAATCTGGAGAGAGGCTTTTTTACAGCACCGAAACTTTAAAGAATAGTTAAGTAAAAGGTATGGGACTAGCCCATTTTTGGATGGGAAGCTGCTCTTTGTAGAAGTTAAGTATGAAGCTCAAAACTAGCTGGTCCCTGAGCTGCAGAGCACGGGTCAGAGTTTCCGAGGATGGGGGCTGTGGTTTGCTGAGGATGAGCAGAGACAGGAGCGGGGCAGGATGACCCCGGAGTTGGGTCCAGCGGTGCGGTGGTGTTATTGTCCTGTACCTATCTCTGGTTCTTCCCTCCATTGCTGTAACGATGCAGTTAACTTAGGCCAAGATAAAGACAAGAGAAAAGTGCCCAGGTTATCAGTCTGTTCCCTTACTGTGTTTAACTTGAAAAAGAGGACTGTACCCTCGTTGAACTGACTCTCATTTCACGACTGTGGGCATTGCTTCTCCTTGACACGTTCAGAGAGCGGGGAAAGTGGAGAAAGTAAAGGAGCAGCAGGATGCACTGACGCACTCTTGCCACGTTGTTCCGCTCCTGAGGGTGATTTTGGCTCCTGTGGAAGTCAACAAATGGTCTCTTTACAAAAAGGCAGTGACGTATGCGATCCAGACCTGCACACTTGGCTGCTTGAACCTTTGAGAAAAGGGAGGATCAGAAGAGGACCTGAGGGCCAGTTTTCTGTAGCTAGGG